ATGAGATAGAAAATTACTTGAAAAAATACCAATTGCAACAGATCACGACTGAAGAAAGAGAATATCTAAACCAGACAATTACAGAGGAAGAAATTAGGAAAGCAATAGAAAAATGAGAATAGGAAAAGCGCCGGGGCCAGATGGTATCTCGGCTAAATATTATAAAATATTAAGTGACCAAATTTCCCCAGTGCTATGTGAAGTCATGAACAATGTATTAAAAGAAGGGAGAATTCCAAACACCTGGAAAGAAGCGTATATTACCTTAATCCCTAAAAAGACACAGATGGTTTAGAGGTAAAAAATTATAGACCTATTTCGTTACTAAATAACGACTATAAATTATTCGCAGACGTACTGGCAGAAAGGTTAAAAAAAGTCTTAAATAAAAGAATCCATAAAGACCAAACGGGTTTCCTCCCGGGGAGACAACTGAAAGACAACGTAAGAAATGTGATTGACATCATTGAGTATTTGGATACTAGAATAGACAAACAGGCGGCGCTGATCTTCATTGACGCCGAGAAGGCATTTGACAACGTCTCCTGGCGTTTCATGAAGGAAAATTTAAAAATGATGGGAATTGGTGAAGGATTTAGAAAAGGTATTGACGCAATTTATCAAGAGCAAAATGCCAAACTTATAATAAATAACAATATATCGGAGGCCTTTGATATTGCCAAAGGGACTAGGCAAGGTTGTCCTTTATCCCCTTTGTTATTTATAACAGTGTTGGAAGTGTTTAATAAAAGGTTAAGGGAAACACCGGAAGTTAAAGGAATTAAGGTAGGAAGTAAGGAATTCAAAATAAAAGCATTTGCAGATGACTTGATATTAACATTGGAAGATCCTAAGAACAGTCTACAAGCAGCCTTACAGAAATTAGAAGAATTTGGAAAAGTGGCAGGTTTTAAGCTTAACAGGAATAAGACCAAAATGATAACAAAAAATATAACCAAGGAAGAGATAGCAGAGCTAGAACAAAGGACAGGAATTACGGTTGTTAAGAAGGTAAAATATTTAGGAGTGTGGATCACAGCAAAAAATATAAACTTATATAAAGATAATTATGAGGCTACTTGGAAGGGTGTCAAGAAAGACTTAGAAATCTGGGAGAGATTGAAACTTTCTTTCTTAGGGAGGATCTCGGTTATTAAAATGAATGTCCTGCCCAGAATGTTATTTTTGTTCCAAACTATACCAGTAATGAAAGGACTAAAACAGTGTAAAGATTGGCAAAGGATCTTAGCGAGATTTATCTGGCAGGGGAAAAGACCACGAATAAAAATGAAAATATTGGTAGACAAAAAAGAAAGAGGGGGCTTTTCTTTACCAGATTTGAGTCTATACTATGAAGCGGCTTGTTTAATGTGGGTGAAAGACTGGATAAAGTTAGAGAATACTGATATCTTGGATTTAGAGGGCTTTGATAACAGGTACGGGTGGCACTCGTACCTGTGGTACGAAAAGGTGAAAGTTCATAGAGGCTTTCTAAATCATATAATCAGAGGATCATTATTTCAAGTATGGGAAAGAAATAAGAACTTGCTGGAAAAGAAAACTCCATGGTGGATCTCACCAATTGATGTCTTAACTGTTAAAAAACTAATATGGAAGGGAAAAGAGCCACCTATGAAGAACTTATCAATAAAACTGATCAGGGCATAAAACTCAAGCCCTATGAGGAGGTAAAGAATGTACTTACGGGATGGTTGCAATACCATCAAGTGAATGATCTGTTAAAAGATGATAAAAAGAAACTGGGATTTGAAGACAAAAAATCTAAATTTAATGTAGAAATTATTGAAGGCAAAAACAAAACATTATCTAGGATGTATGACCTTTTACTGGATTGGTATACAAAAGATGAAGAGGTGAAGGAGGCTATGATAAAATGGGCCATAGACATTGGTTACAACATTGACTTTGTAAAGTGGCAGGAATTGTGGAATGTAAATATGAAATTCACGGCGTGTACGGCATTAAGGGAGAATCTCTGGAAGATGATTCATAGGTGGTATCTCACACCAGTGAAATTGGCTAAGATTTACAAACTGAAGAATAAGAAGTGCTGGAAATGTGGAGAGGAAGATGGTGAGTTCTACCACATGTGGTGGACATGCAGGAAAGTAAAAGGCTTTTGGGAACTGATCTACAATGAGCTTAAAAGGATTTTTAAATATACTTTTCCCAAAAAGCCTGAAGCTTTCCTGCTAGGAATAGTTGGCAAGGAAATTAAAAAAGATGATAAAAATCTGTTTCTATATGCCACAACGGCCGCTAGAAATATATTGGCCCAAAGCTGGAAAACAGAATTAATACCTACTATAGACGACTGGCAGAACAAGATGATAAATTATGTTGAACTAGCTAGAATAACAGGAAGACTAAGAGACCAGGATGACCAGAAGTTTCATGAAAATTGGAATAAATATCTGACGTATATAAGAGATAAGTATAGAACTTTGAGGACTCTGGCAGGGTTAGAATAATTCTAACAGTGTTTGGCAAATATGTAAAGGAGATAAAACATGTAACTTTAGAAATTATCTGATACTTTGAGACTCCTTAAAGGGAGTGAAAGGCGGGATATCAAATCCAAACTCTTCTTCTTCTTCTTCTTCATTGGAATTCTCTGACTTTCTTAGTGGTAGGCAACTACTGCTCCGCAGCTCATGTGAGGAAGGGAAAAGTCCAGTTGTAGGCGGCTCTGGGGTCTTCTTCCCCTCCCTTCCTCCCTCCCTCTCTCTTCAGTTCTGGGTTAGCTCACTTAACATCAAACACATGCTGAATTTAAACAGTGCCAAATGTAAGCCTCACTACAAACAAACAACTGGGACTCCACTCATGCACTCAGGATTATTCCATGGCAGCCAGTGCTGTAGTTTTACCTATCACATTTGACATAATTGAGTGACAGGTGTGTGTTGCCTGCCCAAAACAGCAGCATGGGCCAAATTTGCTAGTCTGGCCAATCTCATTTGCCTCCCTTGGCCAGAGATTCCTTTCCCTGCTGAAGGCCAAGGGACATTCAACAGTCTCTTGAGCATGAAAGGCCAGGCACTTGACAGAGCACCTTGCAGAGAGTGAACCACCAGTGCCAGCAGAAGCAGCAGAGCTGGAAGAAACTGCTAAAAGTTTATATTTGGCTAGTTTGATGCTCCCTGCTTTGGGTTGCATGTATAAAGTTTGTATGGTGGTTTGGACCTTAAGAGAGAATAGTAAAATAGGCCTGTGACTTACAGTTGTCCCTGAGATGCTGTGTTTGAGTGTGTTGGTTGTGTTTAGGGTAAAGAACATTTGGGACAGAAATGCCATCCCCATGGCAAAAATCCAGATATCTTTGAACACTTTGCTTCACATTTGTTCCTTCCTACTAGGCACTGTAAAAGGAGATGTTTTAAATTGATATGCATTGTTTTATTATTATGGGCTGTGCGTAATAATAATAATAATAATAATAATAGTTTTTATATTATATATAAAAATGTTTTTATATATTTTAAAGTGTTTTAAAGGGGTTTTTACTTTTTACTTTGTTGTACCACCGTGAACGGTGGTTTTTATTGATGTATTTTTATTTTGTTCCGTTTTATTTTGGTTTGGGGTTGGATATTGAGTGGGGTGGGGATTGGTTTAGTTTGGTATAATTGTTTTTGGTTTGGTTTGTTTTTCTATTTTGTAAATGGAGGTTGGTATGAGGCTTGGGATTGCTACCGTGGTGGGGCGAGGGAGGTATGGCGGTGGGGGCAGATGTTATAGGCGAAGGGGATCGAGATACGGATATGCTCGTACCCCTTCCAATCTGTGCCCCATCCCGAGGGACGAGGGTAGGGTGAGCAAGGATTACTCACCTCCGTCACTGGTGTTGTGCAGTGCCAGGTCTATAGGCAACAAAACCGCCACCCTGCAAGATTTCTTCACCTCGCAGGGGGTTGACCTGGCTTGTGTGACGGAGACCTGGGTGCACAAAGGGGAAACTGTTACCTTACGAGAGATGGCGCCCCCGGGTTTCTCCGTCCTCCACCAGTCGCGGACTGTGGGCCGGGGGGGAGGGGTGGCATTATTAATCCGGGAAGATTGTTCTTTCAGGGCTCTACCATCGCCATCGATCCCCGGCATTGAATGTGTTGGCCTAGTGTGGGGCTCCGAGGTGAGCTTGGCTGTCTGGCTGGTGTACCGGCCACCTAGCGCACCAGCAGCCACCCTGTCAGGCCTGCTGGAGGCGGTGGCCGGCTGGGCCTTGGAGTTCCCTAACCTATTGGTATTGGGGGACTTCAATGTCCATGCTGATGCCACTCCCTCCTCACAGGCTCTGGACCTGGTGTCTTCCATGGCAACACTAGGGCTCTCCCAGTTTGTTTTGGGTCCCACACATCAAGCAGGCCACACGCTGGATCTGATCTTTGGCGTCGGTATAGATGTGATCATGTCTCCTTCGATGAAGGTGGCATGGTCTGATCACTACGCTCTGAAAGCCAGGATTGATTTTCCACCCCCACCCTGCTTAGGTGGCGAGCCAATTTGGGCTCGCCCGCAGAGGCTGATGGACCCTGATAGATTCCGTCAGGCCTTGCGGGACCTTGCTCCCCCTGGCGACTCATTGACTGAACTTGTTGAGAGCTGGAATATCCAGCTCCTAGCAGCCATCGATGAGATCATACCTAAGCGCCCTCTGCGACCCCGCAGAAACCGGGCTCCCTGGTTTACCGAGGAGCTTTGGGAAATGAAGCGGGACCTCAGACGGCTAGAGCGAGTTTGGCGGGGTGCCCATGACGGAGCCTCAAGAACATCTTATAGGGTTTTTATGAAAACCTACGAGATGGCAGTGAAGGCCGCTAAGAAGTCCTACTTCTCGGCCTCCATTGCCTCCGCTAGCTCTCGCCCGGCGCAATTATTTAGTATAATTAGGTCTTTAACGTCCCTTGAAGGACAGCCAAATTTAAATAACAATTTGACACACAGCTGTGAGGCATTTGCGAGCTTTTTGCGGAGAAGGTCCTGTTGCTCCGCCATGACCTCCCTGCCAATTTGGATACAATAAAGGAACTGGAGGCCCCTCGACTGTCCTTGGGTCCAGTATTGGACCACTTTGACCGGATATCCCCAGCCGATGTGGACAGACTCCTCCGAGCTGGAAAGCCCACCACCTGTCCTCTTGACCCGTGCCCATCTTGGCTGATTAGAGCGTGTCCAGATGAGGTGTGGGCCCCCCTGGGGGATATCATCAATTTGTCCCTTGGCACTGCGATATTCCCAGGGGAACTGAAGGAGGCAGTGGTGCGCCCGCTCTTAAAGAAAACATCATTAGATCCCTTAGATCTTTCCAATTACCGCCCGGTTTCGAATCTTCCATTCCTGGGTAAGGTGATTGAGAGAGCGGTTGCTGAACAGCTTGGTAGGTTTCTGGATGAAACATCGGCTCTGGATCCATTCCAGTCCAGCTTCTGCGCTGGTCATGGGACCGAGACGGCTCTGGTTGCCCTAACAGATGATCTCCACAGGCAGCTGGATCGAGGCGGGTCGGGGCTGCTGATTCTTCTAGACCTGTCAGCAGCCTTCGACATGGTCGATCATGAACTCCTGGACCACCGCCTTGCCGACGTGGGGATCCAGGGCACAGTCCTTCAATGGCTGCGCTCGTTTCTCTCTGGTCGGGGACAGAGGGTGGCGCTTGGGGGGGGGGAATTGTCATCGCGCCACTCCTTGGTGTGTGGAGTGCCTCAGGGTGCGATTCTCTCCCCGATGCTTTTTAACATCTTTATGCGACCCCTCGCCCAGCTTGTCCGGAGTTTTGGGCTGGGTTGCCATCAGTATGCCGATGGCATCCAACTCTATCTGTTGATGGATGGCCATCCTGACTCAGACCCAGACACACTGACCAGACGTCTGGAGGCTGTGGCTGGATGGTTATGTGGGAGCCAGTTGAAGTTAAATCCTTCGAAGACAGAGGTCCTCTGGCTGGGACGGGACGATATGGGATTGAGGGGGCAACTCCCATATCTTGCGGGGGTGCAATTAGTGCCAGCATCGCCCGTTAAGAGTTTGGGTGTAATCTTCGACACCTCCCTCTCTATGGAGGCGCAGATTACAGCTATAACAAAGGCGGCATTTTTTCATCTCCACCAGGCTAAGCAGTTGGCCCCTTATCTCTCTCGCCCTGACCTAGCCACTGTGATCCACGCGACGGTCACCTCCAGACTGGATTATTGTAACTCGCTCTACGTGGGGCTGCCCTTGAGACTGACCCAGAAACTCCAGCGGGTGCAGAATGCCGTGGCGAGACTCCTTATGGGGTCTTCGCTGCTTGATCACATTCATCTGGTACTATACCAACTGCACTGGCTCCCGGTGGAGTACAGGATCAGGTTTAAGGTGCTGGTTTTAACCTTTAAAGCCCTATACGGCCTAGGACCCTCGTACCTACGGGACCGCCTCTCCTGGTATGTCCCACAGAGAAACTTATGGTCTGGGTTCAAATGGCTGCTTTGCCATGAGGCTCCCTGGGTCAGGCTGCTTTTTGTCTAACCTGCCTTATAGGGTTATGTGATGTCAATAATTTTCCTTCTATGTACCCTTGAATAGGAAAATTTGAGTACAGATATGAATAGTAATAGTAGTAACCAGTGAAAGTGGCAAGTTTTATTTCTCTTATTTTCAGCATATTTATACCAAGCCTGTAAAAACCAGAAGGCAATGGGGAAAGGAAATTGCATTCAGTGGGTGGGGGTAATCACATAAATAACCCAGGAATTTTAGGTAGGCTTTAAAAGTACAGTTTCTAAATGGATGTGGATTGCAAAGGAGAAAGTTTGCCAGGAGTCTTTTCAGATGGAACTTCACTTCAAGACTGACAGAGAAAGAGCACCACCTAGAGATGGTCGGAGGGTGGAAAAATCTATTTTACAACACATTAAAAGGGAAAAAAGGAAATGTTTTAAGTGTTCTGCAGGGACTGCAATTCATTACATAAGAAGGTCACCGTAAATTCAGAGAGAAATAAAAATATTCCTTCTAACACAGCCTTTGCCAACTCAGGGTCCTCCAGATGCTTGGGAGGCTGTTCTAACCTGTGCTCACACGACAGGAAGAGCAGGTGTGACAGTGCTGCAGCTGCTGCTTTCAGAGGACAGCTGGGCTGAGGCACAGATTGACTGGATGGGAACAGAATAAGAATACAGTGGTACCTCAGTTTAAGAACAGCCCTGTTTACAAACTATTCTCTTTAAGAACTCCGCAAAACCAGCAGCAGTGTCCCGGTTTGCGAATTTTACCTTGGTCTAAGAACGGAAGCTGAATGATGGAAGGGCACCGGTGGCAGGAGGCCAAGACCTCATGAGGGAAAGTGCACCTCAGTTTAAGAACGGTTTTGGTTTAAGAATGGACTTCCGGAATGGATTAAGTTCGTAAACCGAGGTACCACTGTAATAAAAAATTATTTATTATTTATACCCCGCCCATTGGCTGGGTTTCCCCAGGGGGTCTGGAGCTTGTGGGTTTCACAGAATCATGGAAGGGGCCCTAAGGGACATCCAGGCCAAGCCCCTACAATGTAGGAATCATTTGTCCAATGCGGAGCTCTAACCCACAACCCTGAGAAGAAGAGTCTCGTGCTGTGGCGACTGAGGTCATTAAGGAAACCCCCATTCCCCACCCAAATGCAAGTATCACTTCTAAATGTCACAGTCTGAAGTTTCTTTGATTGAGAAAGGGCCCAAATGGGTAGACAGTCAACGCACAACTTGTGCTCTTTTTCCTTATGTGATGGCAGCTGTTATGTACTGAGTTGAATAGGATCCAAACTGCAGCAGTCCTAGAACAATAGGATCCAAATTGCAGCAGTCTGATTGGTCCTAGAACAATAGGATTCAGAATGCAGCAGTATGATTGGTTGGCAGGAACCACCCAATCATGCTCCAGATATAAGTGAATCCACAACCTGATTGGCTTACAGTAGAATTCCAGAATTAACCAATCATGTGCAGCCCATTGTGTAAATAATGTATATAAAGCAGATACTTTGAGGGGACATTCATTCATTCCTCCTCACCACTATGAGCTGAATAAAGAGCATGAAATCACTTTGAGACTCTGAGTATATTTCACTGGCGACGAAGGTGGGATCCCGCTGAGCTGACTGCCACACACAGCACCGCAGCACCGCCACCTGCTGCACCGCTGCCTCACACCGTGTATCCAGGCTTCAGCTCCGGGACACAAGGAACTCAGAATGGCAGCCAACAGCAGCTTCTCGCCATTCAACCCAGCATCTGGAGACTGGGAAGCGTACGCCTCCCGTTTCACCTTCCTCCTAGAAGCCAAAGGGGTCACCGACGAAGAAGACGCCAAGAAGAGGGCGATATTCTTCAGCGTCTGCGGAGAGGAGACGTTTGAAATCGCCCGGGCTCTCCTTGCGCCTGAAGACGTCGCTACTGTTCCATACAAAACAATAATGGAACAGCTGAAGGGGCACTTTCGCCGCAGCCCTCAGTGGTGGCTCGTCGAAATGCCTTCTACGCAAAGCGGCAAGCCCCTGGGGAAACCATAACTGGGTTTGTGACCTCTCTCCGCCAAGCCGCCCGGTTCTGCAACTTCTCAGAGCTAGAGAACATGCTTCGGGACTGCCTCGTCGGTGGCCTGAAGGATGAAAAGCTGCAACGACGCCTCTACGCTAAGAAGGACCTAACGTTCCAGGTCGCTCTGGAGGAGGCCCTGGCAACGGAAGCTGCCGAGAGGTCGACGCAAGAGGCACGGCCGAGCCTGCCATCCCAACCGAGGGTCCACCACGAAGACCTCACAGACGACTCAGGATCCGACAGGGAGGAGGTGCACCGAGTACAGCAGCGCACTCAAGCAGCGCACAGACCACAGCTGCCTCGACGAGAAGGAGGGAACTGCGCAAGCTGCGGGGAGAGTCACGAGAGGAGGACCTGCCGTTTCCGCAATGCAGAGTGCAGGCAGTGCAGAAAATCGGGACACATCGCCCGGGTGTGTCGGGCTCGGCCCACCCGACACCAGGCATCAGATGACCAATCCAAGAGCCCCAGGTCCCGGGGCCCAACGCACCAAGGCAACTCGACGGAGTTCACGGACTTCCAGGTATACCAGTTGCCCCACCCCAACGTAGAGAAAATTTATGTAGAGGTACAGATAGAGGGGGCCCCATGCCGCATGGAGCTTGACACGGGTTCAACTCTATCCATAATCTCGGCAAGGACCTTAAGGAAACTGTGTCCTACTGGGGGTCCCAAACTCAGGCCGGCCCCAGTCACCCTACGGGACTTCCAGAACCGTAAGGTCCCCACAATGGGGGTGGGGACCTTCAGGGTGCAATACCGAGGGCGGACGCGGCAACTGGACTTGCTTGTGGTCAAGGGCCCCTACATTAGCTTACAGGGATTGGCATGGTTTGGACCACTGGGGCTAGCTGTCACCGGGGTGAACCACACTAGCTTACAAGTGGACGTGGATGCCATAAGCAAGGAATTTCCAGGGGTTTTTGATGGGAAATTGGGACAGTATACGGGGCCCCCCATTGCACTACAGCTTGACCCCGCAGTACGACCAGTCAGGCTCAAGGCCCGCCGGGTACCGTTCGCCTTGAAACCCCGTTTAGACGAGGAATTGGACCGACTCGTGGAGCAAGGAGTGCTGGAGCCGGTGCCTAATGCCCCCTGGGAAACCCCAATCGTCACACCCGTCAAGCCTAATGGTTCGGTCCGCATCTGCGCAGACTACAAATGTACCATAAACAAGGCCCTCACGGCCCACGCATACCCAGTGCCAGTGGTCAGCCATGTCCTTGCCACCCTGGCTGGGTCGAAAATTTTGGCAAGCTGGACTTGGCCCAAGCATATCAACAGCTGCCAGTAGATGAGGCCACAGCAGAGGCACAGACAATTGTGACGCACAGAGGAGCGTTCAGGGTAAAGCGGCTGCAATTCGGTGTCAGTGTGGCACCAGGCATATTACGGAATCTAATGGACTCGCTCCTTAAAGGGATTCCTGGCGTCACCCCCTTCTTTGATGATGTGTTGATTGCTGGGCCCACACCAGAGGAGTTTGAGGACCGCCTCCACACCGTTCTGCACCGTTTCCAGACGACGGGTCTCAAGGTGAAGCGGGAAAAATGTCTACTAGGAGTGCCTCAGGTGGACTTTCTGGGATTTATGGTGGACGCAGAAGGGGTCCACCCGACTGGG